AAAGAAAAAACATTTGAATATTATATAAAATGGAGCTATTTTATTCGAAATTGAATCAGCATTATACTATCCTTAGGCGAGAAATTTCGTTCAAAGTTTGTTATCACACAAGCTATTTATAATCACATCATTTTTCGGAATTACGTGCTATTGATTCTCAAACATTACCAGTACAAACATTATTCAAGCTTGTAAAGATTATGTCAACAGTGGACTTAATCTAGTGATGGAAGCTTGTGTTTGTAATGGTGGCTGTGCTGCAAAAAAATGTCCATGCAAAGCAGCTAAAGTACCATGTGGTACAAAGTGTCATTCTACTAAAAAGAAATCTTGTACAAATATATAGATGTAAACTCGTTGATGAACTGACCGATCTCCAATGTTGCTTTCTACTTTATAAATAAATAAGTCATATTCTTTTGTAGATCATCAGCGTATAAGGGTTTATTTTTTTTTATTACAATAGAAATTCACATATTCTAAAAGATATAAATGCATTTTACATTTTATTATCGAATTCGAACTACTAATGCCGAATTTTTTTAAACAGTACTAACGGCCATTTTTGAATAACTTTTCAACGGTACAAGGTATGAAGGTTGGACTTTCACCGTTAGAAAGAACAAAGTGGGGGACGTCGATCTGTATAAAATTCATTAGATTCAAAGAACTTTTGTATAGTTGTTTGCAGTCAAATATCTTATTTATCGTCTAATTTCATGAGTTTTCATGGTAAATTCACATCAAATTAGAGCAAAACATAGCCCAAATCGCCCTGTATTTCTTCTACAATTTTCATATTTTAACATCAAAGCGTAAGAAAAAAGCTCAAGAATAAAGCGCAAAGATTTGAAAATTATAGCACAAATACAGGACGGTTTGGGCTATATTTTAGTCTAATTTGATGTGAATTTATCACGAAAACTCATGAAAATAGACGATAAATAAGATATTTTACTGCAAACAACTATACAAAAGTCCTTTGAACCTAATAAATTTTATACAGATCGACGTCCCCTATTTTGCTCTTTCTAACGGTGAAAGTCCAACCTCTATACCTTGTACCGTTGAAAAGTTATTCAAAAAATGATCGTTAGTACTTTTAAAAAAATCTGGCATTATTTAATTTAATTCTTAATCATATATATACCTTCCCTCGCCGAGTAAAAGGTCACCCTATAATCGAATTCCAGATCTGGATTTATAAATTTTCGGACATATTAGAAGCTTACTCTGTCTAAAATAAATATAAAAACAGAAGATTTAAAAAAATTGGATCGATTATCTGATTGCTTCTCATGGTATAGTTATAGCTCAATTAATATGTCTGATTTTCTTTATTTTGTATATATTTTCTGTCACTAGACACATGAACTTTTATCGAGAATTTGAAAAATACAAGTCATATCTATTAATAAACTGTAGCTGTCGAAGAACTATTGAATAGAAATTTGACATGGAATAATATCATCCTTTTAGATTTCTTCCTCTTATCGGATTATGTAAAGTTCGAAAAGTAAATCATGGAAATATTGATTACTTGATAACACTAAAAGCAAATCTTTCAATATGAATTCAGCGAGAATTCATCAAACTGAAAAACAGATTAGAATGAGTGATCATTTTATATTGATTATTATAACACTTAAAGGATCGTGATTATCTTTCTCTGAAAAATAGAAGAGATTTATTCTATAGTCAAAGATTTAATTCTATATTATTTTCTATCGTGGTAGTTAAAATACATCGTGTTTCTATAATTCATATATGAAAGTATGCATCAATGCTCATGATAAAGTCATTCGGTAGAACGAGATTTCTATATGAATAATAGAAATTTCTTTTAAAACTTGACAAATTTCCTAAATAAATGTATCATATTAACCACAGTTTTTCGTACTATAACAAATCCCATAAAATGTTCAAGTAGATGAGCACGTTAATGTGAAATCTAGTGTAGACAAGATATTAATTTTTCGGTTGGATAATATTAAACCGAAAAATATATGTTTGTTCATTTTTGACCCACTTGAAGGTATTTCCGACGAGTCAAAATTTATGTGTTCGGACCAGAATTTTGTGTTCTTTCCGAATATTGACTTTGAAATTTTGTGTCAGTTTTTGTTTGAGAGTTGTGAAATAATCTTTGAAAGGTCTAAACAATTAGTTTGAATTGCAAACAAACAGGTTTTGCTGACCCCTATAAATCCCTTTGCGAAGATGCTAAAAATTGTTGGATATGATAGTTTTGTAGAGGGAACAATTCTTGTCAAAATGTAATAGCGAACTAAATTTTAGCTGTTATCCAATGAAAGCTATACGCATTTTTCCAAGAGCTCTTTTCCACGTAAAACGCTTTTTGATCAAAAAGTCTATTTTTCAAAAATGACGATTTAGGAAACACGAAAATTCAGAAGCCTTATCGAAAGGCAAAAAGAACTCAACTACTACATTTTGTAGAGTAGATTTTGCTCTACAGACTGGTATAATAAGAAAGGTTCCAACTTTTAGTTTTGGATCACAAAAGTGAAAATCTATAAATGTGTGAAAAAAAATTCTGTCCAAACTAATTGTTTAGACCTTTCAAAGATTATTTCACAACTCTCAAACAAAAATTGACACAAAATTTCAAAGTCCATATTCGGAAAGAGCACAAAATTCTGGTTCTAAAGCATAGATTTTTGACTCGTCGGAAATATTTTCAAGTGGGTCAAAAATGAACAAACATTTTCTGTCGAAACTTTCAGGCCACCCGTTAGTCTCGAGAAAACTATCAGAATTCTTCTGAAAGTTTTCAGACAATTTAAAAATTCTAATTTTAAAATTTAAAGCATTTTTCTGTTTGTAAATTGATAAAATTCTACATGCAATAGAAACCCATATACAGACTTATTACTTTCAAAAACAATATAGAAATCTAGTGAGCTTTTATTCTGTGAGAGGGGGGAGGGGAGGAAGAGAGGTTAAGAAAAAAGAAAAATTTCTTTGTTAATAGTAATGTGGAAAATGTCAATAAATGGGTGGATTATATTTGAATATGTATCATATAAAATATTGTTATTATTGTTTATAATATTAAATATTCAAATAATATCATATTCAATATTAATGGCACAATTATTTAATTCATTTACTCGTTTATTTCTATTAAGTATAATTAAATGGTTTATTTTATTAAGATTATATTATGAAAATCTTTCATATATATATCAAATAATATTATGTTTTAATCCATATTATTCATTAATTTATATTCTTCGTTATTTATTTCATTATGAAAGAACAATGATTTGTCTTAATTTAAATAAAAAACTTTATCAATTTTTACCGTCTTTATCAATTATTTTTATTATTATTATTTTATCTATTTATATTTATTGGATACTTATTTGGTATTTTGAAAAAATTTATCCTGGTTATTTTATTTTTTTTTCAAATAAAGAAAAATAAAATGTTGTTTTTTTCTCTGTAGGTAAATATGGAATTGGTTTATCATGGAATTTTCCATTTTCAATTGAATATTGGAAATCATTTAAAAAACAATCCATATTATTAAATCGAAAAATGTCTGATGATACATTAGAATCAATATCTGATGAATTTCAAGATAATAATTCTGATCTTATTGTTCAAGTTGAATCAATTCGAAAATATTTTCCTCAAACAAATCGAACTGTCATTAATAATATATCATTTTATTTATATAGAAATCAAATAACTGCTCTTCTTGGACATAATGGAGCTGGTTTGTTTTTTTTATTATTCAATAATAATTATCAGTCAGTTCACCTCATCGGCTGAGTGCCATAGCAAGTCGCTAAATCATATATTTCAGATTTGGACGATGTCTCCACCATCTTCTAGAATTTATGTTTTTAAGTAGAGAACCAAAATTTTTACTCTTATTTAAGATTTTTCTCTTTACTTCGATTGGCTTTTGTGAACATTTTTTTTTTGTGAGATTTTTATGAGAAAACAATAGAAAATTGTCTTTCTAATAGATTTTCTTCCAAAATATCAATACGATGGAGTTTAAATTTTGTTTTTATGCATTACAGAGCTAAGGATTATTCCAGAGTGTAATCAAAAATTTCAGATCTCCGATTGAGTAAAACTGGTGATGGCTTACATCAACTGACTGTTCTACATAGACATCGATAGGAAGCTAACACGATGGATTTCTGTGCTCTCTATATTCTCAACGGTCAAATCGAAAATCATAGGATCTACTCAACATCTTTATGCAGCTTCTATACTCCTGGGAATCATGTAAATCGATCATGGTAACTTCGCATCGATTATATACACGAGATTTATTTCTCATCTTGATACTAAATTGAAGACTACTTCACTATTTAATAATCTTCATAATTAAGAAATGACAAAGGGATAAGTGCTGCATCTCACCACGAAATTATGTTCGAGAGTACTGAAAACGTGCAAAGGTGGTCGGGATTCGAAAACTTCCCCCGTTGCTCATTGAATAGAAATCAATAAGTCTACTAAATATAAGATTAAACTGAAATCTCAATCAAAAATAATTGTTCACTGTTTATCAATATAAACTTCTTCTCATTCGTCTTAATGTTCACTAGTCTGTTACTACACATAGTTTTCAGTCAGTCAGCTAATCTTCTAGACGTTCTTGCTCAAAAACCTGTTTAGATTTTTACAGTTATAGCTCTGTTTCACTAAACGGTTGTGAATGCACTTTTACAAAAACTCATTAATCAAATTCCCATCAATTATCGGTTGAATAAGTTGGAAAAAAAGCAATTGGTAACTATTAGTACAAGAGAATTTAGATTGATTTATCCAGTGAAGATAAATTCGTAGGCTATACTCAAATTCATTCCTATATTGATACGATAATCCATAGAATAAGTTGTCATCATAACTTGACAAATATTTATCAGTAATATATTTTATAGATAATATCTTCAAAAACGGGTGTCACATTACCTTAGTCTCCTCCTCTACAACTCCGAGTACCAATAATACCACAAATGTATTTTATACTAAATAAAAGTGCATCAAAACCTAGATTTATTCGTACTAAATGGTGAAGGCTATGAACATTTTTTAATGTTGAATACTTGAGAAATGTGGAAAAATGTTGAACAACTTCATTTTTTTTCATCTGAAATAAAAACACTTGAATTTTTAATAAAATTAGCTTTTGGTGATTATATTTGTTGCCTTAGATGTTTCAAAATGTATTCATTGAATGCAGTTTTTCACGCGGCATCGGGGATGAGTATATTTCGAAACGTCTGAGACAGCGAATATAATCACCAAAAGCTAATTTTATTAAAAATTCAAGTGTTTTTATTTCATATGAAAAAACTGAAGTTTTTCAACATTTTTTCAGATTTTCGAAGTACTTTTTTTCATATTCGACATAAAAAGATGTTCATAACCTTTACAATTTAGTACGAATCAATCTAGTTTTTGACGCGCTTTAATTTGGTATAAAATCCCTTTGTGGTATTATTGATAGCCGAAGTTGTAGAGAAGGAAGTTAGGATTATGTGAGACGCTGTATATAAACTTTTAATGGATTTCAAAAGACATAGCTCGAATAAAAGAATTCTTTTACTTTCGAGTTTATTCGTTTATTTTTATTTCATTTGAAAAAATGAAAATATGTTTGTTTAATATCGAATGAACATAAACATTATTCAGTAAGATTTGTCTAGATAAGATTATTATATTGAACAGATATCTAAACATATAATTATTGATATAGAACTATGTTGTTAGTAGCTATTTACAGACGAATTAAGATAATTTCAGTTAAATGAATAAAAATAAAGAAAAAAAAACGCTTTTTTTGGTTAAAGTATGATTTAAAAAAAGAAGAAGAATATTCTAGATAATAAAGAAAATTCAATGAATAAATTAATTCAATAAGTTAAATATAAAGTTTTTCAATAAGAAATCATTTAGAGTTTTTCTTTAAAGATAATTGATTATATTAAATAGATTCAAATGTTCAATCATCATTTTTGTGAGAGAAAAATCCTTGATAAATAATTATCGTTGTGAAAATCTAAAATAAATTCAAATATATAATAAAATACAAAATGTAAATTTTAGGTAAAACAACTCTAATGAATATTCTTTGTGGAATAATTGAACAAACCGATGGATCAATAAAAATCTGTAATTATGATACAAGAGATAATATGGATTATTTACGTAAAATAATATCATATTGTCCACAAAGTATGTCTATTCTTTTAATAATAATTCGATTTATTTAAAATAATTTAAAAAATAGATGATATTTTATTTGATTTATTAACAGTTGAAGAACAAATTGAGTTTTATGCAATAGCACGAGGTTTTATTTGTTTTTTTTTTTGTTTAAATATAAATCAAAATGAAAACAATTTAGGTTATTCAAATGATATAAAAGATATTTGTTCAAATCTACTTCAAGCAGTTAATTTAACGAATTATCGAAATATTTTATGTAAATATTTATCTACTGGAATGAAAAGACGCTTATCAATAGCATTAGCATTTATTGGACAAACTCTTTTTGTTTTACTTGGTTAAGAAATTTTTTCTTTTCTTATAGTGGTCTTGATCCAATAAATCGTCGTCTTTTATGGTATTTTTTTAAAATATATATTATTGATTTAAATTTGTAAAAATATTTAAAAAAAAAGGAATTGGATTATATCAATGAAAGAAAATCGTACAATATTATTATCAACACATATAATGGAAGAAGCAGATGCATTATCTGATCGAATAATAATATTATCAAATGGATTTATTTGTGCAAATGATAAATCAAATGAATTAAAAAAAATTTATGGTACTGGTTATAAATTAATATTAAATACAGAGAATAAAA